TCTGTTCTTGTTTTTGCAATGTAATGTTGATTCCATTGCGCACTGGGCATTCACAAGCATTAGTTGGTTCGTTAGTCTTTTAGTTGGGTTATCATCATTACACTCTGGACATATCCATAGGTGCTCAGATCCTCCCCTCAGCATGAACCACAACGTCTGATGGCTAATAGTAACAATTCTTTGTTGACTAACATGTCTTCTGGTGTGTCTGGTGTGCGTCTCGTTTTTTGCTATGCGGATCTTAATTCCCAAGTCTTCCATTCTGGCAAGTGATGTGGATTCACCGCACCCAGAGTCCTCTATTCTTCCCATTTCTCTGAGGGCATTAATAATATCAGCATGATCCATAGGCTGACCGTCGGTAGTGATAGCGGATATAGCCAACCTATTAGCATGTATACGTCCTCCTTCAACAGATGTTCCACCATCACTCTTCCCCCCGCCCTTTTTTTTATTCAATCCACCTATCATTCATTTTACGGAGAGGGACGGGTCATATGGCAATCAAGACTCCCGAATCGCGTAGCTCTCTTGTTGCAGCTCTGCTAATGAAAGAGGACATTGCAATCAAAACCGACATTTGCTTCAATATGGTGTTCGCTAGCAGCATGCAAGCAAATCAGAATATTTCTTGAGCTTATGCTCATACTGTCAAGAGATACCCTTGTTGTTTTACGCGACTTAGTGTACTGCGTTAAGTTACGTCAAGAATTATCATCACAGCACTCCGAGCAATCCCATGCGTCCTCCGTCCTCATCTCCAGCAGTCAGCACAGAGTCCCACTACTGATGGTAACGGTTACAATCTGGTTATAGGTCCGTCTTGCCCTTCCCCTGAGTGTAGTGAGCCGGCCAGACCCACTGGTTACACCCAGGTGTCTCATTTTCTCCAGGCTGTAATTATAAGTGCACTGCTTACTATTGCAGGTAGGCTCAACGTTCTGCAAGCAAAGTCATATCTCAGAGTAGCTGCAGATGAGGTTTCATGTTTAACATTCGAACAATGGATAACATTATGGCACACGGGTAGTTACCCATTCTTTTTTTTTTCTAACCCAAGTCTGAATCTGAAGCGGCTCATCGCAGTGCACAGGCTCCGTAGCACAGGCGAGGATCCTGAAATATTTTGGGTTGATTGGTAACCCCAAATTTTGCTCGGGCAGCGCCGTTAGGCTACTCTTTTCGATTTCCAACTGACAATGGATTTTGTTTACGTGAGCAACAATACACACGGGTGTCCGATCTTAAAACCCAGAGACACGGGGAAATTAATAGAAGTGGGCGTGAAGAGAAAAAATCTCAACCTTCGCTGGGGCCCGAACCTGGGACCTCTAGCACTTGAGACGGACACCATACTTCGAGACCTCGCACATCCAGCAGATAAAGGGGAACAAACAGCATGGTGCTCTAGATAGAGCTAACGATCACAGACTGAACAGAGGATTGGCACAAGCTAAAGACACAGACATATTTGCACTTCATAAATTGTGCAAGGACAGAGGTAGGCCAAAGTGTCCTAGCAAGAATCAGACGTGGAGAGTTCTTCTCGCAGCAGATCGTGAGTGCAGGGACTGACCAGCTAGCGCAGTAGATCGTGAGTGCAAGGATATGCCAGCTGGCGCAGCAGATCGTGAGTGCAGGGACTGACCAGCTGACGCAGTAGATCGTGAGTGCAGGGACTGGCCAGCTGGCGCAGCAGATCGTGAGTGCAGGGACTGACCAGCTGACGCAGTAGATCGTGAGTGCACTGACTGACCAGCTGACGCAGTAGATCGTGAGTGCAGGGACTGGCCGGCCAGCGCAGTAGATCGTGAGTGCAGTGACTGACCAGCTGACGCAGTAGATCGTGAGTGCAGGGACTGACCAGCTGGCGCTGCAGAATCAGAAGTTTAACAGATGATTGATGACAATTCCTGCCCAAATAGTGTGATTATCTATACAGATGGCTCCGTGTTGAGAGACAGACCAAGTGCTAACGGATTCGTAGCAAAACCGAATGGACAAATATATTCACACGCAAACAGATATAAATACGTATTTGCACACAAACAGATATAAATACGTAATTACACAAAAACAGATATAAATACGTATTCGCACACAAACAGATATAAATACGTATTTGCACACAAACAGATATAAATACGTATTTACAAGCAAACAGATATAAACACGTATATACACACAAACAGATATAAATAAGTATTTACACACAAACAGATATAAATACGTATTTGCACACAAACAGATATAAATACGTATTCACACGCAAACAGATATAAATAAGTATTTACACAAACAGATATAAATACATATTTACACACAAACAGATATAAATACATATTTACACACAAACAGGTATAAATACATATTTACACGCAAAAAGGATTTAATACATATTTACACGCAAACATATATAAATATATATTTACGCACAAACAGGTATAAATACATATTTACATGCAAACCGAATTTAATACATATTTACACGCAAACCTATATAAATACATATTTACACGCAAACAGGTATAAATACATATTTACATGCAAAACGGATATAAATAGATATTTACACGCAAACAGATATAAATACACATTTATACAAAAACAGGTATAAAAACATATTTACACGCGAAACGGATATAAATACATATTTACACGCAAAAAAATATAAATACATATTTACACGCAAACATATATAAATACATATTTACACACAAACAGGTATAAATACATATTTACACGCAAAACGAATTTAATGCATATTTACAGGCAAACAGATATAAATACATATTTACACACAAACAGGTATAAATACATATTTACATGAAAGACGGATATAAATACATATTTACACGCAAACAGATATAAATACACATTTACACACAAACAGGTATAAATACATATTTACACGCAAAACGGATATAAATACATATTTACACGCAAAAAGATATAAATACATATTTACACACGATCATATATAAATACATATTTACAGACAAAGATATATACATATATTTACACGCAAACAGATACGCATATATATACACGCAAACAGATATACATATATTTACACGCAAACAGATATACATATATTTAAACGCACACATATATATATATTTACGCGCAAACAGATATACATATATTTACAAGCACACATATATACATATATTTACACACAAACAGATATACATACATTAAAGCGCACACATATATACATATATTTACACGCACGCAGATATACATATATTTACACACAAACTGATATACATACATTAATGCGCACACAGATATAAATATATTTACACGCACACAGATATACATATATTAACAAAGTATCAAATCTGAGTCTTGAGTGAATTATATAATTAGTTGTATCCTTTATTACTAGGTTAGTATGAACGAAACCTGTGCTTGTTATGTTTTACAACTCTACTATTACTGTTCACTTCAAAAAGTTTATTGTTTTACAGTGCAGACACTCCAGTCACGCAAATGCATTCTCTTAGATGTAGCATGCATGGCACAAGAGGTGCACACAAGAGATCTGGTCAAACAGCTGATGATCGGTGTGACCAAATTACTTCAAACGCCGGAACCATTGAGAACACTTAGTATCGAGACAAAATATTATACTATTATAGAGGACAGCTTCAGACAGAAAAATATCGATTCCAAAGATGGACATTGTATACATGAGACTAAAGAAGTGAGACAAATGGCACTTTAAGAACAAGATGGAGAATATCGTGTAAGGAGAAAAAAATACAAAGGTTCATAGGGTGAGGTAGTGGCAGTTGCATGAGTCTCTCAACCACAACAGCACAACATATAGACTGTAAGAGACATCTCAACCACAACAGCAAAACACATAGACTGTAAGAGACATCTCAACCATTGGCACCATACACTTTAAATATATGGAACAACTCAACATAAATGTTAGAGATTTGACAAACATTAGGGCAGTAAATATTAAGAAATCTACGGAAGTTAGCCGACAAGTTGAACAGATGTGCAACAGATGATACGCTAGAGTTATCAACCTCATGGATACGTGTGATGGGAGGCAAGACTGTGGAACCATGGTTACCGATCTCTGCACCACACCACACGTTTAATTATTATGTATTATGTAGACGCTACATACGTACATTAATATTTCAGCAATATCAACGCCTCATACGACATGGTTTCAGATAATATGCACAGTTATCGTTGGAGACGTGATAAACCATATCCGATGAATGCCTATAAGGAGTGTGAGTTGGCCAGGTTTAATTATAAACTGTTTGTCAGTGACATTTGCTGAAATCCCAGTCAGTGGATTGTTAGTTCAATATAGGGAAATAATTGCAGATAATTATGTTGTTGCAGTTTCATTTGTATGTCAATCACTAATCAGCAATTCTTTGAAAAGTTTGATTTTGGAAGCGACTTTCAGAAAAGTCCATCATGGTCAGTGTGAAACGTGTGCCTCTCCCAATCTGGCGAATGCGCTGATTGTATCGTTCATTTCTAAAAGATAGCAACCGCATGACGATGGTGCACAATCCTTGATGTGGTGCGCAATCCTTGATATGATGCCCAATCCTTGATATGATGCACCAGAGACATGTTCGGTAGTGACCCAGGCGTGGCTTCAAGCCATCACGGACAAACACACACCTAACTAGACAAGACCTGATCAACATGGCACGTGAAGGCTTGTGGGGACCGCAGCTGGCGAGCTGTAGAACTGTTAGAGCGCCTAGGTAATCCTAACATGTTAGTCATTACACTAGTTTCAGTTCTTACAGACTCTGTTTAGGACCCTGAATGTTAACCACTTATATCATCCCAGTCGTACATCGCTTTATGTTGTACAAGAGTGACTCAGTATTGTGGGCTTCAACAACAAACATCGCCTTACGGCCACAAGCTAACAGATACATCCCTCAAACAGACACAACACAACAGACACTACAACTGCCTGCTGCATCTTCATACTCTGCAGATATTCATCGGTACTCTATAGGCAAGTAGCGTTTCGATTCTGTTTCCTTGACTGGCCCACTCAGGACTGGAGCCTTCTCGACAAAACCCTTCATGGAATCACTGTCAAAGGTTTCCGCGTCCGTGATGGTTGCCACCTTGTGTCCGTTGGAAAACAGCGTGAATGTCGGAGTGTCTTCCACGCCCTGTTTGTGACACAGATGGCCAAACCTGTAGCAGTCGACTGCAGCAAAGGCATGCCGTCTTCTCCTGGTCTGGTAGGCTGCCTGTGAGGAAGATCGGTCACTGTCTCATTAACCCAATAACTTCAGTAAAGTTAAAACAAATTGGGGAAACTTCTTCACGCCATTGGGAGTAAAAGGTAAAGTCGGGAGACGTGAACCAGCGTATTTGCACACGGTTATAAACCATAAGAGCTCTGCCACCAGTACAGACAGCTGATAAGAATTGTCCGCCTGTGTCGCCGTTCGCTCGTAACTCTGTAGCTAGAGCGACGTTTCTCCATTTACCCCAGAGTATCACTCTGGTACCCATTTCTTAGAGGCTGGGTGAACCCCGGGAGCCATTCGGTTTCGAACACCGATCGTGGGCTGCAGCGAGTCGCAGCTGGATTTATAAGCGAGCCTCTTATCGACTGCGCTAACAAATTACGAGTATTAGGCTTATAGGGGTAGTCCTGTGTGGTATAATAGTCGGCACTCGGTGGGTGATATAGTCAACATCACGTCAGTCGCTTTTACCTCCAAGGACTGGACCTGTTTCCCAATTGGAGCCAAGGTCATTAAAAAATAAACAAATTTCAGTCAGGACCTGACCCGGCGACATCTGCATCCGCAGACAAGCGCCTAGCCGCTACACAAAGGCGGCTCATAGAATACAGTTATATCACAAACAACAAGGATCAAACATCATTACAACCAAGACATCTTGTGAGAATACTAGGGCACTCTGGGTTTGCTCCACCAGTAATACATCCACCGGCGCACAACCCCAGAGTGAGCAGCATTTAACTGAACATTCTACTTGATCCACAAATGAATTTGCGATCATTGAATAATATCCACCCAGTTGAAGACAACAAGTAACAGGAGGTAACATAACATACAATTATGTTTACCCAATTATGACACATCTCAATGTAAACGATATACATGCCAGTCGAGCATAGGTCATATAAGCTATAGTCGGGTTTATGTTTTTGTTTTTTAATGGACCAAAGTCTGCTGAAAATTTGTAATACCCCGGAAAGCGCTGTGAACATCGCCGGTGGCCTTTACTTCCCAGAACTACCTGAGAATATTCAAATGTTGCTGTATGAACACTGAAGGGTTAGATCTTGCCGCCTCTGTGAAAACAAAAATGAGATTGAAGCAAGATACACCGTAAATATCACTTGGCGGCACTAGGCAAGTGCCACAATCTTGAAGATATTGCAATGATAAATATTAAATTTAGCTGTAATAATCAAAGAACGTTATTGTAACACATTCACATTGACACATTTCCTTCACAATAGTTCCCTTCTACAAGTATATATAACTATTGCAGTTGGGCTAATCTTTTCAATTTCTAAATGCTAAGGGATTTTTTACGTGCACAATAATGCACACGGGCGCCCGATTTTACTACCCAGGCGAAATTACTAGACGCCAAAGTTAATGTGAAAAAAATCCCACCCCTCAAATGGCATTAAACCCGAAACTTCTAGCACTCGAGGTGGACACCTTGCCTCGAGACCACGCAGCTCCCAGAAACCTACAGTGTGTTCTCTATCGTCCAGGGTTGTTTCCCTCTGACTGCAACTCGTAGACGACGAAGGATGTCAACGTGTATTTGCTTGTTAAGTATACCACTTTCTGGAATGCAGTCGGTGTATGAAATCGCTAGGCATTGAGGCTAGAGGCGGGACAGGTCGAGGAAGGAACAACTTAGAACATAACTTTGCCGTTGCTCTTGTCCAAGCAAAAGTGCTGTGTCCGGGCGAGAGGGGGATTTCCATTCAGAATTCATTATTTTTGTCACAGGATCAAACAACAACAACTTCACGTCTCGTTTCCTCTAATTATATGGCTGATAACCCCTTCTTTGAGCTCCTTTGTGGCGCCCGTGTCTGGTTTCAGCAGCTTCTGGTGTTATATTAATGTAGTTTAGCCAGTGTTGCAGATTCACAATCATTACATGATTCGTTTAAACGAGCTGTCTCGCTGAGGGCATTCAGTATATCAGCCCTGTCGATTACTCGTGTGGTTCTCACGGAAACAATTCTGCCAGTCTGTCGGCTCGTTCATTGTCCTTTACAACAGATCCCGAAGAACAAATACGAAGCTGAAATTGCACTCTTAAATAAACAGTGATCTCATCTCCCGGCAGTTTAATTCAGATTCCTTTCTGTTTAGGAGAATATATATTCAGGAATTTGTGATGAGATACAATTCTGGGGATTTTATATAGAGATGCAATTTTGGGGACTTTATGTAGAGATGCTATTTTGGGGACTTTATGTAGAGATGCTATTTTGGGGACCTTATGTGGAGATACCATTTCGAGGACCTTATGTAGAGATGTCATTTTAGGGACCTTATGTAGAGATGTCATTTTAGGGACCTTATGTAGAGATGTCATTTTAGGGACCTTATGTAGAGATGTCATTTTAGGGACCTTATGTAGAGATGTCATTTTAGGGACCTTATGTAGAGATGTCATTTTAGGGACCTTATGTAGAGATGTCATTTTAGGGACCTTATGTAGAGATGTCATTTTGGAGAACAGTGTTCACAAATACGGTGCAAGTGCAGTTCCGTGAGAAGAATAGTGTGACAATGCCCAAGTGTTATTCCATCTGCTGAGACTAGTCCAAGTGGTATTCCATCTGCTGAGATAAGTCCAAGTGTTATTCCATCTGCTGAGATAAGTCCAAGTGTTATTCCATCTGCTGAGATAAGTCCAAGTGTTATTCCATCTGCTGAGATAAGTCCAAGTGTTATTCCATCTGCTGAGATAAGTCCAAGTGGTTTTCCATCTGCTGAGACTAGTCCAAGTGGTATTCCATCTGCTGAGACTAGTCCAAGTGGTTTTCCATCTGCTGAGACTAGTCCAAGTGCTATTCCATCTGCTGAGACTAGTCCAAGTTGTATTTGATCTGCTGAGACTAGTCCAAGTGGTATTACATCTGCTGAGACTAGTCTAAGTGGTATTCCTTGTGCTGAGACTAGTCTAAGTGGTATTCCATGTGCTGAGACTAGTCTAAGTGGTATTCTATGTGCTGAGACTAGTCCAAGTGGTATTCCATGTGCTGAGACTAGTCTAAGTGGTATTCCATGTGCTGAGACTAGTCTAAGTGGTATTCCATGTGCTGAGACTAGTCCAAGTGGTATTTGATCTGCTGAGACTAGTTTCTTGACACTCAGTTTTCAGTTAGCAGGAACGATGTTCTGAACATAATGTTTGCATTGCGTATCGTACAGGCGGTCGCTACTACGTTTAGCATCATCAACATGAACACGGTCTTGGCGGAAACACTCGTGAACTCACAAACTTGCAACCGCTTAAATGTGGTGTCATCGTGTGCTTTTTTTTTTTAAGGAAAACACAAACTGTTACATTTCTGTTCTGCTCAGCCAGGGGCATTTGTAACTACAACGATGTTACGTGCATCAGACACAAGCACACTTCTCAAGCAAAACACAAAATGTTACATTTCTGTGTTGCTCAGCCAAGGACATTTTCAACTCCGACGATGCGAGGTGCACCAGAGACGAGCTAACTTGTGTAACTTTTGTTCGAGAATAAAACGTGAAAGTCAAGTCTCACATATTATTTCTTCAAAGTCACTACCAATTTGTCAAATGACAATCTTCATGTCATAATCACTTATTCAAAAATAAGTCGATCGTTCTGGCAACATTTTGAAACAACATCGCATTTCAAGTCATCAAAAATCTGCCCGTTAACTGATCACTGCTTCTTTTATCTATCTGATTCTATGAGTGTCATCAATGATTATGAATGTACGTCTTCTTTTATTCTATCACGAACAGGCCATACTCAGCACAATAGCATATCAATTTATATACTTACCCAGGAGAAGTGTTTGGAGGAGAGCAAACTCTGTCTGTCGTTGGGGTTGTAGAACATCACCAGCACTACCTCTTTGTTTTTGAGAAATTTCGAAAAATTGAATTCTGTTAATCTGTTGATTTTATCCGTACTGAAAAACGGGTCCGGAGTTGTCAGTCCCGCCATAGTTCTATCTGTTCTTGTGGAATTGTTATTGTTGGAGAGTCAGAAGCTTCGATAGAAGTGGTTGAGCTAAGTAACGAGTGGACAGGGCAACGGAAGGTGTGCAGAGACCGCCAGTCGGCCTCTAAGTGATTATTGGACAATGTGTGCATTTAGTTACTATAGGTATGTTCTTGTGTTGGTCTGTACCGTGCGGTCAACTATTGCGCACCACAATCTCTATCTTCGTTTTCTTATCGTTACACGTCAGTCTGAGTGACCACCAATAGCCGTCTTAATGTGTAACCATTCACCCCCCCCCCCCCCCCCCCATCCTTTTTAAATGTAAATTTCCTAACACGGCCGTTGTCTAGGGCCCTAAATATAACCTACTGGTTCAACCGGGTTATTGGAACTTGTTCGAGGGAGATTCCTATCCGAGTGGTGGCACTTTGTGTCACCGGCTGTTTATTCTTCGTCATGCGTTAATAGTAGGGTTGAACGTAAGTCAATCAGATAATGAACTGAGCTCTGTAACGAACCGACATCACAGTACTAGAACATCAACATAAGGACTCAGTCTTTATCTTCAGCATACAGAGTAGTGTCAATACTTCTGCTACATAAATCCTGATAATACTTCCTTGTCGCTGTTGTTATGAGCCTTGAATGATGGCCGTATTTCTGTACTGTCCTCACTGCTGCACCATTCAGAACATCAGACGGCCACAGTGGTCATTGTTTGGTCATCTTAGGAGAAGAGCGAAAGTGGAACATGTTGTGACCACTGGAAAGATCTGTGCGGAGAGAGACAGAGAAAGATAGAGAAAGGGAGAGAGAGAAAGAGAGAGAGAGAGAGAGAGAGAGAGAGAGAGAGAGAGAGAGAGAGAGAAAGAGAGTGAGAAAATTCTTGACATACTTTTTGTCGTTTAAAATCACAAGCTGTTGGCAGATCGCAGATCCTAAAGGCATGATCGTCAACGTTAGTCGGCAAGACACTTGATAATAATTCCTCACGGTTCCTGTTTCTTTTTTCTTGATATAATTGGACTTCGACATAGCTGCCTTGATCTCAAGAAGAAAATGTTTACCTCATAAAATTTGCAGAAAGCGATGGACAAGTCAACATTTTTTTTTTTTACTTCATCTTTGAAAGGCTGAGGATCTCAAAAAGCAATTTTTTGAAAAGCCCTAATCCATTTTATAATAGTTGCCGACCAAGTGCTGTCAATATCTGTAGATGTCACTTTGGGGTGAGAGGCCGAGGAAGTTCATGGCGGCTTACATCAGAAGCTACTGCAACAAAACCTGGCAAATTATTTAATTCACAGTTTGAGACCAGAGGTGGTCACTACAGCATTTTGCTGGTTTAAGACCCATCAGCTGGCGATTCTAACTGACTTTGGAAAATCCTGGAGAAAAGCGGAGAAAGGTATGATCTGTAGTGATAGGAGAGCTTTTATTGTTTTAGAAGTCCCTTGTAGTTAGTGCGGTTTTGAATAATCTGTCTAGGGCAAGCAAGTGTGTAAGTAAACTAAGAAGCAGGCCAATAGGCAGGTTCTGCACGACCTGAGGGTATACTGAGGCCTGGCAGGGCAGAGGTAGTGAACGCCCTTTGGGAGTAGAGGCACAAATAGACCATGCAGTCTGAAGAAAATTGTGAACCTGGGAGTAGACGCACAAATAGATCATACAGTCTGAAGAAAATTGTGAACCTGGGAGTAGACGCACAAATAGATCATACAGTCTGAAGAAAATTGTGAACCTGGGAGTAGAGGCACAAAAAGATCATACAGGCTGAAGAAAATTGTGAACCTGGGAGTGGAGGCACAAATAGATCATACAGTCTGAAGAAAATTGTGAACCTGGGAGTAGAGGCACAAATAGACCACACAGTCTGAAGAAAATTGTGAACCTGGGAGTAGAGGCACAAATAGTTCATACAGTCTGAAGAAAATTGTGAAGCTGGGAGTGTAGGCGCAAACAGATCATACAGTCTGAAGAAAATTGTGAAGCTGGGAGTGTAGGCACAAACAGATCATACAGTCTGAAGAAAATTGTGAAGCTGGGAGTGTAGGCACAAACAGATCATACAGTCTGAAGAGAATTGTGAAGCTAGGAGTAGAGGCACAAACAGATCATACAGTCTGAAGAGAATTGTGAAGCTAGGAGTAGAGGCACAAATAGATCATACAGTCTGAAGAGAATTGTGATGCTGGGAGTGGGGGCACAAATAGATCATACACCCTGAAGAAAACTGTGATGCTGGGAGTGGGGGCACAAATAGATCATACAATCTGAAGAGAATTGTTTAGCTGGGAGTGGGGGCACAAATAGATCATAAAATCTGAAGAGTATGGTGTAGCTGGTAGAGTGGCCAGGGAATGATCGACACTCAAAACTCAGTGAAAAGGCGAAAATGACATTCTGTCAGGTGTGACTGATACGACGGGAACTGGTCTCTGCTCTGGCTGCTGACGATCAGGATGAAGCACTTGTGGAAATATCCCAAGTGCTGTGATGACGGTCCTTGTCTCGACACTTTTTTGTATTTATTGGAAAAATCTATATTGAATAGTTTTTTTGGTTTTTTGTTTGTATGTCTAGCTGTGACCTTACTAAAAACAAAATGGAGGGGGAACATTCTTGTGGTGCGCGGAGTCAAACGATTATCACTTCTTTACTTCCTGACCTGCACACTGATAGCTGGTTGCTTCTGTAATCCGTTGCAGAAGTCGAACCTAGCTTTAACAATCTGTAATTCAGTAACCGATCGGTTTTAACTATTGAGACCTCGCATGAAACCTCTTCATAATCAAGTCCTTAAAGGATTTTTTTTTTTTAAATGTCAACAAAAATTTAGTTTGTATTTTGCCTGACATGAAGAAAAAAATAGACACCGATTCAAAACAAGCAACCAGCATACGTACAGTTAATTTAGTAACGGGAACTCTTCGAAACATCAAATAGCAAGCGTTTTATATGCGTGTCACTCACATGTAGTCAACTTTAGTATTAGCCTCCAGTGAGTTACATGAACACCAGCTTTCATTGTTTGCAGGATAGGTTAGCAAAATAATCACCAAATGTAAAATCATTTCTAGACAATCTCTACGCCTGTTTGCTTATTATGTATCATATTTTTGTTGTTGTTGTTGTTGTTGTTGTTGTTGTTGTTGTTGTAAAGGAACGTTGGATAGTAGACATTTTATATAACTAGAATGTATTTGCAGTTTTGCGCACTCCCTATTCAACTTTTATCTGTGATATTTTTGAATTAAAAAAACAAATTATAATCGCTATCTGTTGCTCTAGCACCATATCAGGTATGCACTATAATATGGTTGCTGTAATTTTCCTAATGCAATGTTTCAAAACTGATCCAGCCCATGCTCGACTCCTAGAGGAAAGAGAAGACAGCGTATAAACAAACAGCTGCTGGCACTACTGGATCTTTGCGCTGGCTGCTGAAGATAAGGACTGCGGGATTATGGGATTGCCCCGAGTGCTGTGGTCCTTGAATCAACCTCACTCAATTATAAATGTTTCTCTTTGTTAATGTTATCGTAGTTGTTTTCTTCTTTCATTTCATTCTGTCATGTTCTTTATGATAAAGAGCAAGTAGTCCAGGTATTGGTCGTGGGGAAAAAAAAAAGGGGGGGGGGGGGGGGTGTCAAATAAACATGGCCACAAACCGCAAATTCATGTCTGGAGAGAACTTGCTTTCCATACTCAGGGGGGAAAAAAGCGTGTTTTCTTCATGTAGGAGGGAATAATTTTGTTTTCTACATGTTAGGGAAAAAAGTTGTTTTCTACACACAGAGGAAAACTGTTTTCCACGCGCAGGGGCAATCCGTGTTTTATAAACGGAGGAGGAAAAACGTTTTTTCTTCACGCAAGGGAAAAAACGTGTTTTCTAAACGCAGGGGAAAAACAGGCGAAACGTGAAAGAGGTTTCAGGCTGCCTTCAGTACATGTTTAACTCTTTGTAAGTTATTTACATCCATGCATTCATGCATCCATCCATCCATCCATCCATCTATCCATACACTCATTCTTCCATTCTGACACGATCGTCAGTTCCATTGTTTAAGTTTTGCAATCAACAGCCTAGCCAGTGAATGAACTTGTGGTACGTGCAAGATTCTGATCCTGCTATATCTATCACACGGTCATCAACGCTGGTTCTACAGAGTTGGTCAATAAGTGCAGTACAGAATTGATTCTCTGCCACATGTAGTCAAGGAATGATTGCTCTGCCACCAAACTCTCACTCTCACCACACACACACATATACATATGTATATATACAAATATATATAGATACATATGCCCACACACACACACATACATACACACGCAAACACTAACAACATTACAGTGAAATTCGAGTTAATAATATTTTTTTCTTATCTTTCGTTTATTCATTTTTTTAAATTTAACTGAATAAAGTGAGTATGTTTGCATCCGTGACGTAGACTTGCAAACGGGTTTCGTAATGCCGGGGTGCCGGCTTCGATCATAGCTGCGGAAGATTTGGCAGCAGAACGTTTTGCGTTAGTTTCGACTGTGGTACCAAGAAACAACCGTTTATGAGGAAGTGACAAACTACTGTAGGTTAAATGTGCTGAGGAAAAACCACAACAGCCACACACAAAACGGAATTGATTCTCTAACGTTCGGTGAAGGACAAGCGACTAACTTTAAAGTAAGCACAGGACTATTTGTCCACGCCCGCACACGTATTGAGAATATAGTGCTAGAATTATTTTATGTAGACCAATTAGGGCATGGTGGGTGATGTGGTCAGCATCACCCTGGACACCTTTACTTCCCTAGACTGTACATGGTACCCATCTGAGGCTGTGTCAACCTGTAAGCCAAAGTCATTAAAGGAAAAAAAAAATCGGTTTAGTCAGAATCTAAGCTCGAGAACTTAGGATTGGCAGATGAACATCTAATCGTTTTAACACAGCGGTTTCCATCTTTTTGTTTCTTCAAGTGTCATTGATAAATAATCTTGTACTGTCATTGATAAATAATCTTGTAATGTCATTGATAAATAATCTTGTACTGTCATTGATAAATAATCTTGTACTGTCATTGAGCAAATTAAGAAGAGTTGGAAGCAAGAGAGATGTGGTTTCTGAGACGAGTGTTACAAATACCTTGGACAGCCAGAGTAAATAACATCGTTTGCTTAAAACAGACTAATGGAAGTAGATCTCTATATACAACAATAAGAAAGATACAAACACTGTTCTTCGGTCACATAATGAGAAGAGCGACATTGGAAAATATTGTGACAACTAGGAAGATCAGAGGAAAAAGGGTTATAGGCACACCAAAATATATGATACTGGATGGGATGAAACGATGGCATGAAGGGATATCATCGAGAGAGCTGTTACAGGCAACCAGAGATCGTGATCTGTGGAGACGAATGCCCGCCTGCGCCAGTTAGCAGTTCACATGCTGATGATGATGATGAAATAATAAATGCTATTGATGTGAAAGTTAAATCCGATCAATGAGGTGCACACAGGGCAGTTGTCAACAGACGTGCAGGTGACTAAATGTTACTTCAAAACTGTTGCAGAGGGGGACACTCCTGAAAGCGACCTCTGGGTGCTTGTACAATGGACGCTTGTTCCACAAAGTTGCGCAGATGTGTTTCCTGTACGCAGTCCAGATGTGGCAGTGAACCCACAGCCTGGCCAAAAGAGTACAAGGTGATGGTTGGCGTCCTTGTCACGTGATTGGAGAGACACAACTGGGAGTCTATCAGACAGTTGACCGTAGCGTAGGTGTGGCCATGTCGTTGGCTGGAGCAGGCTGCCTGTGGATGATACCAGCACACGCATATCTAAACGGATCTCATGGGTGGTGAGTGGGCGTTGGGTTGGGGGGAGGGGGGTCGATACTTATTGGACCTGGAGCTCGACACCCTTATGTTCAAGCGAGACTGATTGACTAAGTCTTGTTTCAGTTAGTGATTATAGTAACAGTAAGAATTATATTTTATGGGTACGAATCACAAACTCGGGTCCAGCTTACCTATTTACATACTTATAATGACAGGTCAGGACACTGTGATTGGAAGTTCGTTCATGCGTTTTAGCCTTTGAGACGCGTAAGTATGAATGTCAGGTTGATGCGACGTTGTTTTGTGTCAACTGTTTGACCGGCGACCACGCGTGCTCTATATTACAGGATGTGAGCGGTTTTAAAATAACATGTAGAACTGACCATAACCCTAACTCCCCTGGCCCACACACTGAACCTAGGTTAAGCTGAATCAAGAATTGACATCACAGCAGACAGGACATTCCCATACGCGCTCCAACCCCATTTTCAGCAATCAGCGCAGAGTTCCAATGCGCAGAGTTCCGGTCGTAATTTGGTTGAATGTCCGTCTCGCTTTTCCACAGAATGTAATGAGGCAACCTAACTGTCTGGTTACGCCCAGGTGCATCCTCCTCTCCGGGCCATAATAATCTTGTATCTCCTCTGACTTTGATACTTGTTCCCAACATACCTTGACCACATCTGTCTTGTCATCTACCAATTCACCACCCAGTGGTGCAGATCAAGCCAATCTGTTCGCCTGTTCATTCTCTACAACGCTGGCAGCGCCTGGAAAAAAATCCAAGGTATGCTCACTGCCAGTGACCTTCCGAGTGAAACTTGCCACTTTGCTTGGAGCTGCTCTGTCTTTACCTTTCTCAGCATGCTTTCAGAGTATGTTACAAATACGGTATGTGTACGCGTCTTGTTCTCTAGCCACCGGAAAACTGCAGTGACCGCCTTCATCTCCATTCTCATGGTTTCATATTATTGGCTGTTCTCCACTAAAGATTTTTCATTGGCTTTTGATTTGAACGCCCAGCACTTCTCTTTCCTCTCATCAGAGAGCCATCTGTATAGATAATCAGATCATCTGGGAGGGAATTGTCGTGAATCAACTGTTAGACTTCTACCTCCGTGGCGCCCGCTGGCCATTCTCTCCACTCCCGGCCCAATGTGATCATAGCCCTACAAAGGTAAAACTTCTCCGCCTGTACTCTGACCCACTCCTTTCCTCGCTCAATGTTCTTCAGCTTGCATACTTGTCTTATTTTGTCTTCTCCTTCAGCCATCCACCCCTTTCCCATTTTCAGCCTCTGGCCCTTAACTGCAGCTAAATCTTCATACAGAGGGTGTTCCCTGTCTGCAGCTACTCTGAGGTATGACTTAGCCTGCAGCACCCTTAGCCTATCTGCAAAGGTCGGCCATGCAAGGATGTATCGCATGCACACAATCGGGGTGTCTCTTGTACATCCCAGGATCACCCGCATAGCTTCATTCTGTATGCGCTCCAGTTTCTCTAGCTGACTCTTCGAGACAGTGAGTAACCCAAATCCATAATCAATGACTGAGAGGATTAAGTGCTGGTAAAATGTGAACAGCATTCTCTGCTCTATGTCCATCGCCGCCATAATCTCTTGTGCATTAAGACCTTTTTTTTTAAGTCTGTATCACAACCTCCTATATGTGATTCTTAAAAGACACGTTTATGTCAAAGGTTATTTCCAGGCACCGCAGTCTGCTGTCTCTTTTGTTATCCTTGTCATTTATTTTGAGGCTTGGAACATCAGCTCTAACAATCCTGGTGTCCAAAGAACACAACAGCTCGCTTACCTTTTCTGGGTTGATTATAGCACTCATCTTTGTACACCAATTTATCACCTTATCGACTGTCACCTGCAGCTCTTAAGCTATTTGATTCCGATTTCTCCACTTCATTTATGCGAGAACATCACCTGCAGATGTCAAAATGTTGCTAACTGCAGGTGTTTCTAGGTCAGTAATGTTGCTCGTAAAACCATTGAACAGTACAGGTGAAATTGCAGATCCCTGTGGTAGTCCTGGAGCTTTAATACCTGGTTCGGATGGCCATGAACGTAGGCAGAGAACTGCCCGACGAGTATGCAAAGCAACTGCTATCGAGTTCTTCAACCAAGGACAAACTTCCTTATCCATAAGCGATTTCATCAAGATACTGTATCTGACTTTATAAGCATCTTCTAAATCAAGTCCAGCTACTATCGTTTCCTGTCTTTTCTGGAAACCTTCGACATCGAAGGCAAAAGTGGCTGCATTTGAGCATGTGTCTTTCCCTGGCCGGTAACTTCCCAAGCAGGTCCCACGAGAGAGTACCTTCTACACCCCTTTGCTGTAGATCAGCCTGATCAATCATCAAAGACAGGTCAGCTTTTGTGTAGGTGATCGGAGCCGGGCTTGAGTTCGTTTCTTGTTAGCATTTTAGGATATCGCGCCTAGTGCACCCCATAATCTCGCTATTTGTGTTTTTGGCTCATTCTCTTACTACCTCTACAAGGTGAGATGTGGTTAGGCTGTTCCTTTTGCTAAGGAGCCGCCGTGGTGTAGCGGTTAGATGCTCACCTGCAGATCGGAGGGTCGTGGGTTCGGATCCAGTCGGAACCATATTCTTTCTCTTCAAAAATTACAGTGACTACCAGGTTGACCCAGCATTTAGTGGGTACCAAATACATTTGTGTGAAATAAAGGCGGCCGGCGCCATGCTAATCACATCGCCCACCAGTTGCCGATACGTCTATAAATATGTGCTTAATACCCCTGAAGGCGTGAAAAACAGTCCTTTTATTCCGTTTACCTAATGGTTCAGCTGCCATGACATTCTAGTTATTTTGCTATCAGGTTATCCGAGTATGTGTCCTCAAGTTTTGTTGAAACGGTCGGCAAGTGTAGATAAGATAGGATCATCTGGAATGAGAACATAGTGACTCTGCTTTCTTCTACTGAATGTCTGGGTGGCTTGCTGAGAAATTTACACTTTATTTCTCTATACATATTGTTGATCGATTTTCTTTAGTTTTGTGACATTCTTTTAATTGCTAGTTGACTCTTGCCTCTTCAGATTATACGAAGTAAAAGAGAAAAAGAATTGTACAAAGACAGTAATGTGCGGACACCTCATGAGAAAGGGCAAGCTATAATTTTCTTTTTTACAGCAAGACTTGCAGGAGAAACCAAGAGACAATAATGTTACACAGGCTGGCACCATCAGTCAGTGTTGGTATCAGAAACGACTGTCTGTAGTCGCGACAGAAGGATTTAGTCATAAACCAGGGTCAACGTCCACACAGAAACTAAAATAAACAACCGGGTTAGCTTACCGAAGCAAACGTCTTCAGGAACTCCGTGTTGTCCGGCATCTCTGAGTGGTAGAACAAGATCAAAGTGATGTCCTTGTCATCCACAAACTGATGGAAGTTGTGTCGATTCAGTGACGGCATTCGATGTGATTGAAACAATTGATCTGGATGTTCTTCACAACGACTGGATTTGCCCTCGCTGATACTTGGCCTAGCTTCATCAGCGTTGCTGGGAGTGTGTCTAAAATCTGAGTTTAGTTGAGATAGATCTGTCTTGCCTGGACTTCGGTGTAGAGGGATGTCTCTATGTTGTGTCTCCATTTCCTCGGGGTTTAAATTCATGCGTCCAGTGGGTGCACTAAAGCGGCAATTGTCACACTTTCCTTGAAAAGGATTCATGGTAAAATTTCCTGAGAATGGCTGGAATTTACTTACTTCAACAGCAATACCTGATGTATGAGCTGGGCGAATGTTTGTGTTAACTGGTCACCATACATCATTCTGAGGAAAATGTGTCAACGTTCTTAAACACCAGGCGTGACACAGGCACAGGCCGAGCTAAGGCTAGTTCTCAAATAACATTACCCTTCTGTGTTATTTCCCCTGGTGAGATTCGTTCTCGATCGACCCTACAAATGTGCGTCTTCTCTGTCGGATTCAGTGAAGCAGCAGTCGATCACGTCTTCTTGCTAGTCAGCGTGTGTATTTTTGTACGTGTAATTGTATACATGTGTAAGGGTGTGTTTACACTTAAATAACTTCAGCTGCAATTTTCTGAGAGAGAAAGGCCGTTTTCCGGCATAACAATGTGTTCTATGACGTCACGGAAAGGGTGCTTCTGTGTTCATACCGTCAACTAATGTATTCTGCTGTGAACATCTCCACATGTTATGTCGATAACCTTAGCAAGTCATGAATTGCTAGCGGCGTCATCACGTTTGTGCTGTGCCAAGGAACGATCCATTAAGTAATGCCATCTAGGTATGTTACTCATTGTCCCTAACGTGCTCTTTTTCCACCCTATCAACATGGCCAGCTGCCAGCAGATTATCCAGTGTATTTCTTTTTCTAACATGAACACAAACAGTCACTCTCTACCATCTGAGTCTTTAGCTCATTTGCAGTGTATTTCTCTTTCTAACATGAACACAAACAGTGACTCTTTGCCTGTTTCTTCAGTCAGCTCATTTTGATCGTCTGTTATCCAGTGCTTGTCTAGCTGGCGACGACAATCTCTGCATTCTCGGACGCCACATTCTCATTGCCTAACTATATCTATCTTTATCTACACCTGCAATGTTGTCAAGCATGAACTTCGCTGTCTTTTGATTATCTGGGTATGTATCATCTCGTAAAGCGAGGGTGGCTGTTTGACGTTGCACGCTGTTTTGTTCTTCCGTGTCACATACACCTTTCCTTTCCATCTGGATATGTATTGGCAATTTATAACCCTCTTTCCAAAGGGTTCGATCTGAAATAGCATTGGCTATCAGTCTGTCAGGTGCAGGCAGATTATGGAATCTAAGCATTGTGAAGCCTCCAGTCAGCCGATGTCAAAGTGTCTGTTACGAGTATAGCAACATAGTCAAGCTCAGTAGGCCAAATAGAGCTTGTTCATCCTCACTGCTAGCCCTGACGTAAGGGTAGCCAGCGAGCTGGGTACTGAAGCTCAGGAGTTGTAGAGACAGCTGGTGTAGGCTGTTCGATGGAGCACCGCTGAAACTGTTTCGACTTGGTAGAGTTTGTGGCATTTGTAATGTGCTCTGCTAGGGGTATGCTTTGGTAAGCCACATTGCTATCTGACGAACAGTAAGTTGTTACGACACAGCAGAGACGAATGCTGAATCACAACATATCATAGGCGCGCATTCTCTCGTCTTCGTGTTCGTTCGGCTTGGTTGATTTCCGACGGCCCGGTCAATCTCCTCACACACTATTTTGATCCATAGGCGTCTTTAGAATCGCACATCCATCCACTAGCGAAACCTTGTACTTGGTATTTTGACATGTAGGAAACGTTCATATCTCCTCTCGAAACATAACAAGTATTCACAATTCCTTCATTCTCATGCGTCCATTCATACGACCTCTCGCAACCAGGTCCGAACTTAACCTTTCTTACTCCCATATCTCGGTTCACGTCTTCCGTTCCCGTCTCACGCTTTTCTTATATTCCTTATTTTGCTCACCATGGGATACACGAGACCCACTTGTCTCGTTTTTCTCTTGTATCACTGGTCCTCCGACCTTGTCCTCCCCATCGGGAACCCTCTGGGATTTCCCCGGGAATTCACAACAACATTCATTTCATGTTTAGCCAGTGTTGGACACTTGGAGGCTGCTTTGCTGACATTATTCGAAGTGCGGCTTTGTGGATCCGTACGTTCTTGTTAAATTAATGTATGTATGCGGCGCAGAGTTTTTCTGGTTGTATGCAAGTTGCAGTGTTCAAGTGGAAATCCTAACCTAGACAATCACTTGACCACATGTTCGTGTGCTGTCAGTATTCACCATACAATATTGAGTTTTCTTTGATGTTATCATTACTTCCTTCTTCGCATTATCAAAACTGTTCTCATTTTATCGCTTTTTACAATCACCGAATTTATCATTCTTTGTAACTATTTTTGATTTGTCGCAATCAAGATTGTGCAATCAGCATAACTTTCGTGAATGTGTGACCACCAACCACAATTCCTGCTCTACTCTTGATGGATCCTATTGTATATTTACAGTACAACAACAACTCAGGTGATAGCACACATCCATGCCGTACTCCTTTCTTTATACTCTGAATGTTTCCAAATGGTTGGCAATTGTTACAGCTGCTGTCTGCTGCCAATACATATTCCTCCCTTTTATCTTTTTAAGTCCCAACGAACGTATCACACGTTTATATATTCTTACAAAAAAATCCGGTGAACGCAAGATGTGCCGTTTATACAAATCTCCTAACAACTCCTAGGTCTCTGATGCTACACCTCGTGTGACTGAAAGAGTTAAACTGTCTTTAACCCCTAAGTCTCTGATGCTAAATCTCCTGGGACTGAAAGAGTTAAACAATCTTCAACTCCTGGGTCTCTGATGCTACACCTCCTGTGACTGAAAGAGTTAAACGATCTTTAACAACTGGGTCTCTGATGCTACACCTCCTGGGACTGAAAGAGTTAAACGATCTTCAACCACTGGGTCTCTAATGCTACACCTCCTGGAACTGAAAGAGTTGAACAATCTTCAATTCCTGGGTCTCTGATGCTACACCTCCTGGGACTGAAAGAGTTGAACAATCTTCAACTCCTGGGTCTCTGATGCTACACCTCCGAGGACTGAAAGAGTTAAACGATCTTCAACCCCTGGGTCTCTGTTGCTACACCTTCTGCGACTGAAAGAATTAAACGATCTTTTCCATCAATGTTTATTTTGTCTATTAGACTGATTATTTTATAATGTTTCTTGACAGAGAAGAGCTCCTGCCATGAGGTTTGGGTAGTTACCTTCTAGGTAAAGATACCTGGTCCAATGCAGCTACTTTTGCTTTTGATATTTATGAGGTGTTCCTGGACAGACAGGAGACTGTTGTGGTAGCACATGATCTTGAGGATGCCTTCAGTAAAGTCAGATATGATGTACTGATATCTGTGCTCATGGAGAAGGGGGTTTGTCCGTGGCTTGTGAACTGGATAGCAGCAGTCATGCATTCACGTATGGCTGTCGTTCGCCTGGGTACATGGACCTTAGAACTATGTAATATTGCCCTCGGCACTACCGCCAGGCTCTGCAATTTCAACAGTGCTCTTTAATGTGAATACAAGCAAAACGATTGCAGAACTTTGAGCACCAGGTGTTGGAAGTATATTAACATGTGCCTATGAAGTTCTTGCATGCAGACAGCAAAAAAAAAAAAAAAGGGGGGGGGGGAGGGGTTGATAGACGACAGATAGCCCAAGAGCAAACATAGTGACTGACTGGTGTGCAGAAACGAGTGCTGTCATACACTCAGAAAACGCGCGTTAATGCTGTGCTCTTTGGACAATACACTTGTAAGAGCAACTGTTCTAATCCTCACAATTATTAACAATAACATAAAAAAAGAAAGCAAAATGGGGTACCTAGGTATCATTTTTCGATAGAACTCCGCGGCACTCAATTTGAGAATCGCTGCATTAACGTATCATTAGTCCAGTTTGGTGACGTCAGCAGCATGGCCCGTCAGCTGGAAGCGATCTTGATTGTACCTTTCATACCTGCGGGGAACGGCTCCATGACGCCCGATAGGCTGCCAACAATTAAAAGTGCTGTTCCTAGTCATGGTCCTTGTTAAGCTACTTCTTCTTCTTCTGCGTTCGACATCAGTCATGCTAAACATTGAGTCCCGTCTGGGTCACAAATAGGATTGTGCATTTAAGGTCGCCACCGGTCTCCCATAGCTTCTCTCGCAATGTGGCTCCCTTGGGCCAGATCCACAGTCTTTGCAGGGAGAGGTTAGGGGTCTGCCTTTCTGCTCCACAATCACAGGCAGCAGATTCGTGTATGCCTATCCTGTACAGATGTGCTCAAAACCACAGTGTCCAGTCCGAAGTCTAAAAATTGTTGTTAGTTCTTTCCTTGTTTAGCTACAAAATTTACAGATTATTTCCGAGGAAAACATCAAATGATGTCTTTGATGAAATTATGTGATACAGACTATCTTAACCATACACAGACACATGCACGCGCACGCACGTACACACATACACGCTCACACAAACACACACCCACACACACACTCACCCACACACACACACACACACACACATAGTAATATAAAATAAATTTAAGACACCAACGTTTGCACACCAAAAACTTTTGTTATAACAAACACCGTTGGACGCTCGTACGAGGCGCGTCTCTTGTGTGTCCTTGTTTACTTGTTTTGCTGGGAGGTCGGTAGAATGACCTCCCAAATTTGCAGTTGCTTTGACAGTCAGTTGTTAATGTCTCAACTATCCAAGTGACCGATGGAAACACAACTATAAATCAATGTGGCGTGTCTATCTGTCTATGTGATCCTACATTTTTAAATTTTCACACATCCAACAAGAGCTCTGCTCCAAGATGACAGAAAAAGAACTTATCTACGGAGAGTTAGACTGGTCTAAAAACCCAGATCTAACTGCTCCTTGTCGTTCAACTCGTGGTCGCTTTCATTCGGAATCTGCGACTCCAACTGTGTATGCTGAGATCGACTTTAAAACTCAAAAACCATTGACTCCGAGCCAAATTCAGCGTCAGAGTACATTTGACTTTCCGCCACCACCGCCGGACTTTTTTGAGGATTATTCACCTATTCATCAAACACTAGACGAAGTTAAACCACTTCGTAAAAAGATCCCTCCGCCGGTTCCGCCAAGACGTCATAC